TTAAATCAGCTCTATCAGTGGATACCCATTGTTTGAGATTTATATTGTCATCTTCATTTTCGTCACATGTTTTCTTCTTTACATGTGTCTAAAAACAAATTTTCTAAAATTGTATTTACATCTTGTTTAGAACACTCCAAACACTAGCGTAGCATACAGTCTTGATTTTTTACATCACAAACAACTTTTGATATTATATCATTCAATGAACAATTGGAATCGAGTGCAAATAGCTGCAATTCCACAATCTGATGAATCGTACATACGCAAACTGAATGTGTTCCTGAGGAGTCAGCGACAACACACTATTTTGGCCGATAAGAACAAAAGCTTGACAAACTTAATCGACTTTCTTGGTGTTTGAAAATGTCACACAACGATTTTTCACTTACTTTTCTTTCAGAATCATGCAGTTTTCCGTGATTTCAGCATAGAAATGAGTTATGAAATGAGTAAATAGAAATGGGCATTTTCTCTCTATTCGTCTTCCATTCGTCTCTCTATTCGTCTATTTCATTCGTCTTAAGTGGATCGTCTCCATGACATCGAAAACATTGCCAAACTGTGTTTTTTTATCCCAGTAGGCCATGTATATGCATATCTTGATGCCCAATATGGTCGAAATATCACCTGTAGCTGCGGTTCTGACAGTTTGTTCTGCTTTTCAAATGATAACAATTGCATTTGGGGTATTGGTATCAGAACTCTACCATTGACAAGTAATGTTTATTTGTATTGTTTCAGCCCTTCCCCTGTTCGAAGAATGTGTCTCCGCAGCAGCAGATATTCGCGCTGATGACGACAGCAAAGATCTGCAAGGGAACACGCAATTCACACCTCGATACCCTACGTATCGATTCCAGTGAGGAATATTTTCTAGGGGTTGGGAAGAATCCTAAATCTCCTCTAATCTAAATCCTCTAAATTTTTCAAATCTCCACACTCCCCAGTTAGTTTCCGTAGGACGTCAACAAAAAGAAAACATTTTCATGTAAAACTTTTTTATAGCCGATACACGATCTGAATATAACCTAAAATATTACGCTCCAATAAAGTCAAAAAAGCAACACTAATTAATACAAAAATTACCAACACAACATAACAAAGTAAACTTATTATACAATTAAATATTACTATATGTAATATTATTACATTCATGAATTCTAAATTCATTGCACTTTATTCTGCCAAAATAGTAATTAATATAATTCCAAAAAATAAATTATTTAATGTATTTAATCCTTTCGTACTAAAATACATATTATAAACAGAGATAGAAACCAACCTGGCTTACACCGGTTTGAACTCAGATCATGTAAGAATTTAATGGTCGAACAGACCAATATATTAAGCTCCTACACTATTGCCTCACGTAGTCAAATCATTAATCGAGGCATGTGTCGTGGAGTGGCATCAACATTTGTATCCCTGTGTCGTAGAAGTCTCCTGCCTAGCGTAGCGTAGATTAGTGTGTGACAACCACCTGCAACTCTGCGTCAATGTGATACGCGTATTGCTGACAGGACAACATCTTGGGGTGCTGTAAGAAACCAGAATGCGACATTTGGCGTACAGTGGAATCAACATTTGAATCCTTGTTTCATATACGTCTGCCTCTTGGGATAGGTAACAGTTTTTGACAGTCACCTTCATCACTTCGACACTGTGTTAGTGGACCGAGCAGGAACGTCTTAAAATATAAGAAAAGATGGAAGTTGTAGTGGGAGGGCGAAATCCGGTCTTCAGAGTGGATGGGCAGATGCTTCTCCCAGGGGGCGGCTGGTGAAAACCTGTTGTGCCCCGAGCCGTGGATTGGCCGGGTGTTAACCGGCAGGCAGACTGCTCTTGCACAGAACACCCTGCGTCGCTTGTTCTGAGTGATCCTGATTTCTGTCCTGTCAGCATTGCGCGATGCAGTGACGCATTGGTACAGATGGGTGCCAAACACTGGTTGCCCAAACGGCAACTGTTGACCTCACGATTTGACTAATGTTCCAGTGCTGATGCAGTGGAGGAAGAAGAAGAGGAGGAGGAGGAGGAAGTAGGAGAAGAGGAGAAAGAAGGAGAAGAGGAGGAGCAAGTAGGAGAAGAGGAGCAAGAAGAAGAGGAGTAAGAAGAAGAAGAGGAGCAAGAGGAAGAAGAGAAAGAAGGAAAGAAATCATTTTCCCCCGGTCGCTCTCTGACCTCTGTCGTTGGCCGTTGGGGCCGGATGCACCGTCCCCTTCAGACGAAATGACTGGCTTTGTGGTCACCTGCGGACACTTTCGTATTGCATGTGAAACGTGGCAACTGTTGTGAATCTTTTGTGATTTAAGGTGGATTATTGTGAAGGGCGATTTAGTGTCTTGTGCGCAACTCATTCAGAAGGTTTTAGTTAATTCCCATCTGGGCGATTTAACCGCAACCGTTGACATGATGTACACTAATGTACAAGCAATTTTTTATGTATTTCTTTTCTACATGTTTAATTCTACACTTTTTCAGTGATTTAAACTCCGATAAATAATTATATAGGTTAGATGTCCGCATATATTTTTCAGGTAAATAATATTACCCATAATATAAGACAATAACTTATGTTTACTATATTTGAATAAATAGTATACAATGTAAAAAGAAGTGAATTGTAAAGGGAGAAATAATTGTTTACGGTATGGGGGATGGAAAGTGTTCGTAGGTAAACGTGAACATATTTGATAATTTGGAATATAATTTTGTCTTGTGAAAATGGTCCAGGAGGTATTCTTGACATTCTATTTATTTTTTTAAGGTTTATTGATATGAATCAGCAAATGATAAAATTATTTGTTACTTGTTTCGAGACTGTTTGGACTAATTTTCAAGACAAAGAAATAGAATGAAAGTAAATATATCGAGTTAAAAATGTAGGAATAAAATGTTCACAGTGAGTATATAAAGAATAAGAGTAAAATTCTTATAAATATTGTTGTAAACGACGAGGGCTAGAAACAATGTACACATGATATTGTACCAAGTGGATGCCAACACTTCACACAATATACACAAATGCTAGTACTCATCTCACATACGTTGGAAGTATAAATGTACATAATAGAATGTAATATACGAAGATTTGTCCATGGAGGAGGGCGATGTCACAAAGAAACAAATACTAAAACAGTTTCATAATGGATTAACATTTGTTTGAAACTATTAGTATTTTGCATTCCTATTTTATATGTAGTAGTATTTGTAGCCTTCGCGCAATTTTTAGTAGAATGAGCAATATTAAAAATTGTTAAAAACAATTTTTATCAATGGATTGATTGGTGATTCTGGGCGCGTCAGTGGCTAAGGAGATTAATCCCGTAAGTGTAGGGCATGTTTTTTATCGCGGGAGGTGACAGTGATCTTTCCCCTGGAGCATGGTACGATGCTGCGCCGACCTACCGGGCGGCCAGTGGAGTTTTCCCCAACCACGTATCTCCCACCAGCGGGGCACCGCTCTAGCCAGGGTAAGCTCTAAGCTCCCGACTTTGTGGTACTGTAGTGCATGTAAGGTAAGAGTGAGTAAGTAATTGGTAAGGATAGGAAAAGGAAGGAAAAGGAAAGATCGTGAGCGGGCCGTGACCCGTGGAACAGTTTCTTGCTTCACATTATTGGAATATTCGTAAAAAAACATTGAATTACTTGGCTGGTTGAAGTTGTTGAAATAAGCAATTTTCATCCAAAACGCGAAATCTTTTTACTTTCTCGCATATACTTACATAGCATGCAGAAATATGCGGTGAAAAACGGACATTTTTTTTGTCAGAAAAAGTATTGTAGGTCCATGGTACCACAAAAGTGGATAACTCTTGTTCCTGTATGTAGTAAATTTTTTTCCTCTAACACATTGTGAAGTCTTAATGCCCGGTTCTTGGTTTTTCAAATTCAAAGATCTGCGGCAAAAGGTCTGACCGTTTGTGAACAACACACACGTCTAATCCTCGGCAGTGTTTTCACGAACATTCAAATTTCCCTATCGATCTGAGTGATATTACGACTATGAATTTGAAACGTTTTCTTTGTTGGGTATGTACTTGAAGTCTCGACGATCGTTTCATAATTTTCTGAAAAATAGCTCCAATTTTTTCCCTTATTTTTTTGTGTCCTCAGATCTCTCAATGAACGCTTACTAAAATGGCCAAGGTCTTTAGGTCGAAGGCCTATTTTCGTTGAATTCTCTTAATTGTGAAAAATTGCGAAAGTTTACATTTCTTCTGCGCTTTCCTACCACTTAAACATTGAAGATTTCTTTTTAATTAAATAAATTCTTCAATATTCAAACCAAACCCAAATATGCGTTTAAAATTCAAGGGCCCGGGACTGGGTGATTGATATTCATCGATCAGTGAGACTTGGATGATCAGTGAGACAGTGATATTCATCGATCGGTGAATATCAACTTTTGATAAATTCCCAATAACGATTTACCAGGGTTCGTGTTCACAAACGAACTGACAGAGTTTTATTGAAAACAATTTTTTCGGTTTTAAAGACCCAAAAGCATTCTGAAGTACTCTGACATGTGTTTTAAGAAGTAGTAATTACTAAATTTTAGATTTTGGAACATAAAAATCCCCTTTTTAGTATCAGGGAACTACAATACGACCTTGTGTGCAGTTTTTCGCCGCAGTATTACACAACGTTCTCTATAAGTAGTATGAGAGATAGTAAAATATACTACAATACCATGTTATCTCTGTTAGTTACATTAATGACATATAATATAAAAAATGTGGACAATAATCCACATGTTATCATTCTTATCTCATAGAAACTTTCGAAATAATGGTTTCAGTATATATAAGAATTGTAAATGTATGCCATAAATGTCAAGATATCAACTCGTACCTCAAATTCGTAAGTCCAAATGTAGGCCTGAAGTTTATCGTTTTAAAAAAATCATTGCTTCATTTTTGATTCAGTGATATATAGCTTGTAAGAACAAACATTATTGGGGAACGTGTGAAATCCGTATATATACAAAATTGCTTATCTTCTACTTTACAATAATCCAATAATGAAATTCAGCCAGTAGACGGCCTTTTTTTAGAATCATTTTAAAACTAATACGGTCTGTCATTTAGAAGGATAGTCGATTCACCACTGCAAAACTATCCAAATTCATCTCAATTTATACAATAGACGTATCACAATGCAAACTATTGTAGAGTAACTCGTAACTTTCAATACTGGACTTTCATTGTGCATACATACTAATTAATCCTGTCTCAGTGATTTTGACGTATCTCATTTCACTTTATCTAATCACAGATTGTCTCTTATCTACGAGTAATTCATTCGCAGTCCAGTGATACAGCGTCTGTGTCGTCAATATGATGTGGTGCTACCTAACAAATTTTCATCGACGGTAAGGTTAAATAGATGTTACCTAGTGAACTTCTTTTTAGTGAAGCAAAATGAGCGTGGAATACTTTCGTATCCATTTTGACAACCCGTACGCGACGTTCTTCTGCGGCGAAACTGTGACTGGCCACGTGGCCCTGAAGCTGAAAAAGGAAAAGCGCTTGAGAGGTAAGTACAGTTTCTATCTTCCGAGTAGTTTCCCCTTTTATACGACAAACTTATTACTTTCTCACTTCTGCTTATGCAATTTAGAGAAAGTTTTGGAATTGCGACCTCCAGGGTGGCCCGTAACGCTGGCAAGCACTCGTTTGATCGCCGTTTGTCTACCGAAAACCGACGCACACAGACCGATACCTACACGCGGATTCCCACCACCATCCTTCAATAAAACTAGGTGTACTGAAGACGCTGGCCACAAGAGCTGTGAAGGTGTGTGACGAGCACTCTCTTCCCGCAGAACTTCTGAAACTCGAACACACTTTCAGGGCCAACTTCTATTCCCAAACGGCGATCAAAAGTTTTGGAATATTGAGGGGGGGGGACGGCGAATTTTAAACAGAACTTTTATTTTCGGGCCCTGTTATCTATCATAAGAAATAGGAGTTATAGCAAGGCTGGAGAATGATTTGCCTCAAAGAAAGCTATGGAGGGAAAGCAGACTTAAACACAACTGTAAATTGTCTCTAATGCAAAAAGAAACTTCAAACTAAAATACTACGCCCGTTAAAATAGTGCACACAACATATATCGTGATAGTCGTCAACTGTCTCCGTGAGTAAGAGATTTTAACTTTTCGACCCATTTAAATACAAAATAATATTAATATTATAAAAATATTAAAACATTGAGAACGTATTGTGTGTGTTTCGGACAATGGACGTTTTTTACCTTCTTCAGGAAGTCAAAGTGGTAAATAATCTTGTGAGAAGCAGTATCATACCGTAACAACAAGTTTACCTTTTAGACGTTTGATGAAATTAATATTAGTTCGTATTTAAATGGGTTGTCAAGTTGAGTTTGATATCACAGTATAAGGACTTTAATTATAATGTTTACTGCACGAGTAACGTTCCACGCCGATGAAGTTGCACTTTGAACTTTGGCGCGTATCAGCACGGAACGTTACGTTAGAAATGTCTTCAGTCGAACGCAGTGCCGTCAAAGGAGGCTCAAGGCATCAACTCATGTGACTGCAGTGACTCTGACCGTGAGGTCGTGGCTTCGAGTCCCGACTGCGGCAGGTTTATCCACACTAAACTAAACAGCTAGGTCGAATTCAGCCGCTGTCTGGATGAGAAATTTAGCGGACGACTGTGCTTATCGGTAGTTTTCCATAGTTTTTCGGATCAATAACAAGCGAATACGCAGCAGTACCCTAACAAACGAGCCTCGGACCGCGCGCAATATTTCCTTCCTCTTCCTTTTCCTTTCTCACCCCTTACTTACACACACAGTCGCATTTACTACACTACCTTACTTGTCGGGATCTTAGAGCTTGACCCGAGGCGGTGTCCAGGGCGGTACCTCGCTGGTGGGAGATACCTAGTTGAGGAAAATTCCGGCAATCCGACAAGTAGGTTTGTGCCAGATCTCACCATCCAGCGGGGGAAGACCGCAACCTCGTGAGGAAAAATATTGTACTGCACTTACGGGACTAACGATCTTAGATGTTGACGCTCTCGGAATAACCAATATATCAGTCAGACAGTAAATCAGAGGAAGTAACTCATTCAACTACGTATTTTCAGGAATAAATTCTAAGTTCCATATTATACAGCGGTAGTATTACGAAAGTTGAATGCATAATTGTATTTAATTAAAATAAAAATGTTTACCCAAAACTATGAATAAATGACACTCCTTTTTTCTACTCACTTCACAAAGCAATATTCACAAGCCTCAATTAAAATAAATGTTTGGCTATACAACTTTAGATTACGCTGGAGAGACACAGAAATGTGGATCTGTGTAATCCAACAAATAATATCAATTCAGTGAACATTTATTCTCTCGCAGCCATTGAAATAAAATTCTTTGGAGCATCTGAGGTAAAGTGGCAAGAGCATTATACCCAAAGGCAAGGAAATCGCAACGTGACGAGGACCATAGTGTACTACGCACAAGAAGTATACATTGACAATACTGCCTGCGTTCTCGGTGGTCAAGGTAAGTACTCAACATGTTTTTTTTCTGTTAGTATAAGTGGTCTCTGGCCAACAATTTGGCAATTGAACAATAATCAAAGACAATTGAATAACTCACTGCATATACTTTCTTTCATATTAATTTTTATTTCATGTAATTCTTCATTCACGTCGTTTTTGGATGGAATGTCTTCCCATTATCAGGTTACTCGACATTTTTTGTTTATTTGTAGTCGCTTCTTAACATTTAAGGGACCAAATTAGTACACTATCTCACTTGTATTGCACATTCACCTAACAGTATTGCAGGCCAAAAGAGTCGAACCAATAAGGGGGAGGTAAAATACAAAAGTAACGTGATGTAAATTAGATTGAGGAAATGGAGAAAAATTGGCGTTTTAAATCTCTTAAATACTTTGAAAATAATTTAATTGTTTTTTTTAAATAGAAATTGGCATATCAGAATATTGCCAAAATTTTCTGTACATTATGGAACGGAAAACAGGGAATTCAGTTTTCGTCAAAGAAAATTAAAGTTGTTGTTGTTATTATTATTATTGTTATTATTATTATTGTTATTATTATTATTATTATTATTCCTCTAATTCACAATATGTTATGACTGATTATGGTCTACCCTGGGTTGCAACCATCTTCCTAAGAAGCAGATCTCGGGACTATCGCTTGCCTCTACAATACTTAGAGCAAAATGCAGACTGTTTCCAATGTTTTGCGCTCCCCAGTGTGTTGAATGATTTGGAGTTTCGCCAAATTCTTACACAAATTTTGCGGAAGAAATCCCACAGTTCCAATAACTATGTGGACGGCCTGTGCTTTTACGACCCACATTTGGCAGATCTCCATCTCCAAACTCTTGTATTTAAGAAGTTCCTGTGTCTCCTTGGTTAAGACGCGACGTTTTGTCGCACGGCACAGGAAAATTTACAAATAGACACTTTTTATACGAATTACAGGATCCGCTTTGTTTGCTGCTATAGTGTGATCAGTTTGAATTTATTGATTGTACAGTACTGTGTACTCACAGTACTGTAGATGTCACCGGTTTTGGTAAGTGTTCGAACCACTTGAAGCATGTGTTTGAAACCTCAAGGACGGTAAGTTCTGCCAGTGGAGGTAACTACAAACCCTATCGTGTCTTTTCACGTCAGTCTAGGCTAGAATTGGTCAAGCCAAAACAATGGTTTCAATTTGTTCCTGGCAACTCATTCATCTGGCATTCATCATCTTGTGAAATTTTGAGAACCGCTTTACCATAAAGTCGTGTTCTCAACCCCTGATCTTGGGCAGCTATTAGAACTGCTTCCTATTCTGGCTTCATTCTTCCCGTTTTAAGACTTGTAAATGATTGATCTTGTTGATTTGCACATTTTCCATGCTTTTTAGATATTGTCAGTGGAGTGGTTTGTCTCTCCACGTCTTCTTTAACATTTTTTGTGCCTCACATTTGATGTTACGTAGCATCATAAGTTCGGTGTCTGTGATATTCCGCTTGTCTAACATAGTTTACTTTGCAATGCTACGCTAACAATGCCCCCTTTTTCCAATATTGGGTCAGATTTAATGATTGTGTGACTATGATCGTGACTGTTGCATTGTGTATGGAGGCTTTAATTTGTCTGAAGCCTCTTCCTCCTTCATTACGTGACGCATAAAGACTATGTACATCAGTGCGAGTGTGGGCGGCGTGATGCATTGTAAGCAGTTTTCTGGTTTTCCGATCCATGATTCGAATTTCTTCCTCAGTCCAGTCCACGAGTCCGAAACTGTACTCGACTGCAGGCACCGCCAAACTACCAATTGCAGATATTTTATTCCTGGAGTTCAGAGAGGCCTGCAGGATGTCTCACTCTTCTGTAAATTTCCAAACGGATTCTCTCTTTCATTGTGTCGTTCTAGATGGTCTCACATTCTTCAGTTCCTGGATATTTGTCAGTTTTACCTGACTCTAGATCTTGAATCACAGCGAACATCTTCATTGTCCTCTGATATTATAATTTTGTCTTTGTTTAAATAATTAGAAGAGAGGCAAAATGACATTCAGAGAAAAATCAATTATTGTTTGTTGCACACTTGTCAAGACCAAAATTCATGAGAATATCATTTCTAAAATCATTGACAACAGGGAACATTTGGAAGAGTCGCTTCATTCTTAGCAAACACTTTAAGATCATCCATGTAAAACAAATGTGATACTGGTCTTTCATCGTCATGGAGCTTTTAACCAAAGTCAGTGTGCGATTACTGTCTACTCTAGATAGTGGGATCAAACTAATGCAAAACATCAGATGGGATATCGAAATTTCTTGGAAAATTTTTCTATAAATCTGAATAGTTTGTACTACTTTCTTTCCCTTGTATTAATAACCTGGTATTCCACGACTTCCTACTAGCCTTACAAAACTCAAGGAGTATAGGATGAAATCGGTAGATTTCCGGAGTCTTCAAAATCCAATCGTGTGGTACACTGTCAAAGGGCTTCTGGAAGTCAACCCAAGCCATGCTCACTTTAGGTTTTCGTTTTCTTTCATCATCTAAGATTATTATTATTATTAATAAAATTAATAGTAATATTATCGTCATCAAATGTTTTGGAAAAATGGATTTCTCAAATGGCATTATATACTTCCATCCCCTTTTCATCATTTGTCCCTTAACTTTCACTTCTTTTATTTTGTCCGTATCCTCAGATGGATACGTCTTTACTTCATCAGGTTGTCATTTTTAGTGTTCATTAAAGATTTTCCCGGAATGTGGTATCAAATCAAATATGCTCATAAGAGTTATTTTTTAACAATTTAAGAATACTCTTGACGGGATGACTTAACGTTATTACAGAGAAAGATTTTCTACACTAGGATTTCAGTTTGAAGTGTCTGTGTCTCTGCGCGTGCGAGCAAGACTTTTCGTAAAATTTATTTGGACACTAAAAAGTTACAATTGTGAAGAGCGAGGTCCAGACTGATATTTTTCTTATCAAAAACACAATTGCTATTAAATTTCATGCTATTTATGCTCTTCTTATTTATGTGTTCTTTAAAAGTTTCAGACGATTGTGTTAAGATTCACATTTCTACAATCAACCAATAGTTTGAACCATCCGTAAGAATGTAGAAGTGGGTTGCACTTACTTAATTTTGCGTACTTTGTTAAACAATTTTTTGATTAAAAATTTAAATGGTGATTTAGTTATATGAATAATGTATTACATTTAAATAATCAGCTTCTAAACTTCTGCAGATCTAAACTTCTAAACATTTCATTTTAATAATAAGTAATTAAAGTCAATGAGGTCATTGAAACAAGAAAATTACAATATTAGCTTTGAGAATGTTATATTTATTAACGTCGTAGACGAACACAAAATAACCAAGTGATATTTGTTGTTGTTGACAATATTTTTCGTAACACCGTGTTTTCAGGAAAAACAATCAATCAACAAGTACCATTTCTTGGATTTTTTCTTCCCATGTTTATATACAATTATTTTGTTTCGATTGTTCTTATCGGATGACAGACTTTAATTCTTAACGGACGTCAGCAGAGAAGCATGGCATTTCGTTCCTCTATTTCCTTAGTCCATATAACAGTACAGTACTACAAAAAATTGAGATATCATCCTATTAATGGGTAATTTTCAATTAAAATGTATATAATAATTTTAATAATAATAACTTTTCCATACAGATGGTGATACAACATTACCTCCTGGAGAATATACGTATCACTTCGCTCTGGTCTTGCCTCCGGCATTACCATCCTCGTTTGAAGGAACTATTGGCCATGTGCGATATACAGTGAAGGCCAAGATTGTGCGACCTTGGAGATTCAATCATGAAAGCAAAGTGGCTTATTCAGTTTTAAGCGTTTTGGACTTAAATAACGTCGCAAATATACAGGTAAATATCGAACTGTATTAATATAGACAACATAATGTTTGCATGATTAAATTGTTTTGCAAAGTTCGAAAGAATTGTTTTTACAAGTGGAAAGTCATGTTTAAAAGGGATATGAAGTATTGAGTTAGAAATTAATAGCTTATAACGCCCAGTGACAAGTGTAAAAACAATCCACTCACAATGTTCACGATGTGTGCAATTGAAGTGTACAACGGGAACTATTTAGTTCAGTAGAAGCCAGGAAATGAGATCTTATCCTCAAATAACATTAAAATAGAATTTTTTTCATTCAGTCACAAACGTAGTAAGCGTCTATATACCGGATGCCTCACCCCAAACGTTCCCCTCAGATTTTACTTTCTGGAAAAGATCTCGGCTGTTCGGAATAAACCAGGCTTCTTTCACTCGAATCCCAAGACTCAGAGAAAAGCACATTGTATTGCGTCATCAATTCCTTCACTCTATTGCCAGACGTATGTTACGAACCACCAGTTTTCCCATAGCCAAATTCACTCAAAAACCTCCAAAATGCAATCAGTTGTTATAATTTCACCTCGTCTTTTGCATGCTACCTGCTGGGTCTTTCGGGTTAAATGATATTAAATGGAAGCGATCTTTTCGCTACTCTTTGAATCCGATGACTCTAACTAAGGATCCAAAAAGATGAATTTTCTAGTTCTCCATTTTTGAATCTCGCTTGGCATAACATGAATGGCATATGTTGAAATGCAATGTTACGCTTTTTTAAATATTAAAGTAGTACAGGATTGTTCGTATAAATATCTAATAAACGGTGTCTTTGAAACACTAGAATTGATTTTTGATCGAGAAGACACACATACTTTGATTTGATTTATTTTCGTCCAAAAATAATAACTACGGTATGTGACGTATAAGGAGAACACTTCGCACGTTTTTTATGATCTCTGGACACTCTTTCCCACAGTAAAGTAAAAGTACCAACATTGCGAGCGTTGCAACACTTGAAAACGACACATTTTCGCTTCCAATTTATAGAAAACTTATTTGCATCAGTAAAAGAACTACAGATTTGATTTTATAGTACAGTATTTTCTGTACATGGAAAGGGCGTAAAAGAGCTTTTTAAAAGGGCATAACTCATAAACCATTCTCTCCGGGCTAACCCTAGTGCAAGCGGTGCACCGCACAAGGGCGGTGTTTGTTATCATTCATAAAGCTTGACATGTTCTAATTTCAGCATTGTTGTTACATTTTTATTAAAAAGTGCATTTTCCATAAATATACGAACTCTTCCACGGTTAAATTATATATCTAAAAAATAAATACTTGTAATACATAAGCATGAGTAATAAAATTTTAGGAAATTTTCATCAATTTCGAATAATAAAACATCGGCTACTTTTCATTCTCTTGCCGCAACTGAAGTCACCGCTCCTCTGTCCAGTCAAATGGGTGTACAAGCTAAACAAAATCATTGTAGCCGGCCTTGGTAGCGTACGTCGCTAAGGCTGTAGCTGCCTCAGCTCGAAGAGTCGAATCACGCCTCGGGCATGAATATTTGTGTTTGCTCGTGTTGTCCTCACGTGTCGTGTTCCCCCGAAGAAAATAATCACAATACTTGCTACATGCATTGTAGTTAAAAAGCTAACGTAAAAAAGCATTGTAACAAATTCCAAAACATCGTAAGACGAGGCAGCGAACAGAAATCTGCCCAAGGGCGCGAACTACACCTCAATGCAAACAGTCACAATGCTCGCTACATGCCCTTGTAGTTCAAAAGCGATCTTAAACAAAATAATTGTAACAAAATCCAAAACATTAGAATGCGAAGCAACGAACAGAAATCTGCTCAATCTGCAAATTACTCTAGCGCTGCCCTCACTCTGCGACTGCATGCCTGTGATGTCGGTGCCAGGGTTGCAGGTGTGTTGCGAGCACTTTCCTCACCACGTGTACGGAATTTCTCCAAATAACCTCGCCAATGAAACAAAATTTCACCATTTTGACACGAAAAATATACTCAAAATTTTGGGCCAACAACATGAGGTGTCCCTGACAATTCTATTGGCTCTCGGTTACTGGTCTCCTTTTGATGCATACAAATGATAGAGACTGACTTTTTTCATTCATAATATTTAGAGAATTATATTTCTGTCTCGGCTCCGGGTCAAAAAAAATTCCCCAAACATTTCCCGTCCATTTATGTTCCCCATTCCTTCCCCACAACGAAGAAAAATCTCCAATTCTGGGATCAAATTCCCCAATTCGGCAACCGTGGTTGGTGTGTGCCGCCAGGTGCCGCTGACGGCGTCGGTGGAGAAGACGCTGTGCTGCATGTGCTGCCGCTCGGGGCCCGTGGCGCTGGCGGCGTCGCTGCCCTTCTCGGGCTTCGTGTCCGGGCAGCGCGTGCAGATGCTGCTGGAGGTGGACAACCAGTCTTCGTCGCAAGTCACCGTCAAGTGCAGCCTCGTCCAGGTCCTACTGCATTGACGTTCTCCATCGTCGATTGATACTTTCCGGGCGAGTCGTCCGCTGTGGTCAGTGGTCCCGTCAGTGTAGTGAATGTTTCATCCCGGGAGGCGGCGGTGATTCCTTCGCCACCGGATGGTGAGATCCGGCTACACGTCGTCATGAAGAGGGTTTCTCCCTTCGGGTATCTCGCTCAGCGGGACAGACTCTAAGCTCCCATGTGAGGTAGGTAGTGTAGTGCATGCTAGTGTAAGGGGTGAGGGTAGGACAAGGAAGAGGAAGGAATGATTGCAATCCGTGGCCCATTTGTTAGGGTACTGCTCGGGCACCCGCCTGGTGTTGGTCGGAAACCACGGAAAACTACCGATGAGTGTAGCCGACAGATAGAATACTCTTCCAGGCAGTAGTTAAATTCGATCTAATTGAGTTATCTAGTGTCGAAAATCCCGTTACCGCCGGCACTCGACTCTAGAATCCCTAGTCAGAGGCGTTGCAGTGACATTAAGGCCCTAAGTCACCTAAGGCAGTAAAAATTATCACTTGAAGGTCTCCGCTTGGTTCAGTTTTGGAAGTCCAATTTAGCCCGAAGAGGGTGCTGCCCGGCAGCAACCCTCATTCCGTACCGGGCAATTATGATTGGTCAGCGAACGACCATGAAGCCGTGCGAAATCTGTTGGTGTGCTTATAATCATGTAGGATTTGATCGAGTTATAGGTTTTGTTCTATTTAATAAGTGCTCTAGAATAACTGTCAACGGAATAGGCATATTTATTTGTTTTTCTGAAATCGGGTTCCATTTATTCGTAAGTATTATCTAATTTAAATGACAAACAGAAATCGAAACTTAATTTCGAGAATAATTTAAATCTTGTTTTGATGTTAGAGAATTGTTTTAATGTTCATGTTTCATTTATGCGGTGTGGTCGCAATCAGTTGTCTTCAGAAGAACAGATAGCTACTCATAGCAGTAGGTTTGTTTCTTTTATTTGGTCAGATTCAGGGGAATGCTGGAGCAGTACCCTAAAAAACGGGCCATCGACCTCACTATTTTTCTTTCCTCTCCTTTGCTCACTCCTTCCCCTTAAACACACACTTATATACTGACGTGCCCTACTCTACCCCGCAAGTTCGGAGACCAGTCTCGAAATTGCAGCTGCTGAGGCGGTGACTCGCTGGGAGAGATACTTGGAGTTGGGTAATCTCTCAGTTCGACGTATAGATAGGCGCTGGATATCTCTGCCCAGCGGGAAATCACTGTCATACAGGATAAAACATTCTCTACACTAACGGAAGTAATGTCCATAGCTGTTGACGTGATCAGAAGCATCAATCAATCAATCGATACAGACTTCTCGACTTGTTTTAATGAAAGGACTCGCACTAAACTTTGATTAGTATAGCTTCAAAAAGAGTGACAGCTATTTTTAAAATTTATTTTCGAACAATTGTTTACAGAAAGTGATGTACACCGCAGCATCCGGCTTTAATGTGAAGAGCATGGAGGCCCGGATTGCTGTTGAACAAGAAACACTTGGTGTCGTGGAGAAGAAAGGCTCAAAGAACTTTCAATCGGGTATGGTCATCCCTCCTCTGCCCACGTCATTTCTCTTGTATTGCAACTGCATCGAAATTGCTTATTTTCTAGAGGTCAGTATAAGTTTTTGTCTATTTGTTAATTCATGTAAAATGAAGTTTGCTCACTTCATTAAATACCCAAGGGGACTGACAAAGTACAAAAACAACAAGTTTCGATTTTGATTGAGAAATTACGAATATTTAATTTTTTCTACTCCCATTTTATGACTTATTTAAGTATTATTTAATTTGTTAGTCATTTGATGGCTGCAATCCGTTGCATTATGTGTTCATTACAATACAGATTTCATTATGATACAGGTTCTTGACCAATCACAGAGAAGTTAACAAAGCACGTACTGATAATTATTCATTGAAAATCATTCTCGTAAACGTTTAGTTCGATTGTGTACATTAAATTACATTAAGTATTATATTATGGTTGTCAGTTTTAATTTATTTTATTATTAATAGGTTTTTAAGTGGAATATTATTTAAAATAAATGGAATCGTAATTTCACTTTGATTCTATTTGACTAGTGCTATACTCCCTCGAAGGCGAACCGGTAACCAAAGCCAGCTGCAAAAGCATGCGGCAGGGCAAGGCAAGGCAGAGCTGGCTAGGGTAGAGAGCGGTCCGCTATTCAGTATTCACGCGCACCGGTTCAGAACAAAACAAGTGTTTCAACCTGCAGATACCCAAATTCCATACATTCGAGAGCAGCATTTTTGTCCCTTTAGGTCGATAATTAATACTGATCAATTTTCGTTGAGAGTTAACAGTACGATACTTCGACGACAGCTTTTATTTTCAAAATCTTTCTCTTGATTTTCTTTTGGTAAGAGGAAAAGTGTGCTTCAATTTAATTTCCAATCACTTAAGTGCCCTTTAATTACCATTAATCGTACTTCCTTGCATAATTTGCTAGACCAATTTAAATTTATTTTACTTTCTCTCCTTATTGCGTTGATGTATTGCAAAATAGTGAGCGCATGGGTAATTTTTCGGCAGTAAAACTCGTATATTTTTATTTGTTGGGTTTAATAAGACCCAATGTGTTTCCGAGCTCCTTAAGGTCCGTCAAGCGCTGTGGAGTAATTCTCCGTTATCAAGCGCCCTCTTGGGGCCGCTGGGTAGTCAAGTCACGTGTCACAGTCAAGTCAGGGGCTCGCCGTCAGGTAGCGTCTTGCGTCATCTACCCATCGGCCAAAATTGAGAAGGAATAAGGATAGGGATAAGGTTTAGGACGCTTCACAGGAGTTGGACTAGACCCTTTAAAGCAGGTCAACTCGTTTTATCGTAAAAAATTCACATGAGGATCTACGGGATTCGAACCCGGAACTTCAGTGGCGAAACGCACGAAAATATCACTTTACGGGCCCTGGTACAGAAAATAGGATAAATCTTTCTTTTAAATGTAGTAAATTATTTCCTTTATCACGCTGTGCAGTCAGAATCAACGTTCTATGGGTCTTGAATACCGAAAAATTGATTGACAGCAAAACGTCTCTGTCCGTTCCTCTGAGGTCAAAGCTAGCGCCTCAAATGATTTTCTCCATAATTCATATTCCCCGATCGATCCCAATGAACTCGCGTTCCTGGAGTTTGAAATAGATATTTTGATTTGGGAGGTATTTTAAATGACGGCCCAACAACATTTTTAAAATGGCTAATGGATCAAAATTGGCTCCTAATTTTCTGATCTTACTTTGCCCTCGTGTAGCGTCAAATTCGCTTATCAAATAACGCAAGTCTAATTTTCTTTTTTCTGAATTTCGAAAAATTGTAAATTTTAAAAAATTATTCCTCGTTCAAAATAACGGTAAACAATTGTTTCTGATTCCATTTTTGGCAAACTCTTGTTTTTTTATTATTGTATAACGTATGCATGACGTAGAAAATGGAATAATATTTTTTTCTTAATAGAAATCATTTTATTTAACGAGTACGTAGTTTTCATGTAATTTCTGCTCAAAGTTAATGCAGTTAAGAACAAAAATATTATCCAAAACCGGCTCGAATATTTTTCCTTGAATAAA